AAAATAGAGGAATCCAAAAGAAAGAAGGATCAGAAAACTGAAAAATCGAAAAATCAACGATTTTGAAAAAAAAAAAATGAAAAATGTAAAATGAGAAATCGAAACATCGAAACATCAAGCAATAGAGAAATAGAGAAGTTCAGAAATCGAAATGGGCCAAAATCAAAAAATCGAAAAGTTGAAAACTTAAAAATTGAAAAATCGGGAAATGCAGCATTAAAAAATTAAAAAAATTGGAAAATTAAAATATCGAAAAATTGAAGAATCGGAATTTGAATTGAAAAGTTGAGAAATTAAAACATCAATTCAAAAATCTAAAGTTTAAAAATCAAAAAACTGAAAAAAGGAAAAGTCGAGAAATCGAAAAAACGAAACATCGAGAAATCGAGACATGAAAAAGATGAGATCTCGAAAAAAAGAAATTCGCAAATCGACATGAGTCAAAATAGAAAAATCGAAAATTTAAAAATCGTAAAATCGAGAAATAGAAAATTTAAAAAATTGAAAAATTGAAAAATCAAAAAATTTAAAAAACGAAAGATTGAAAAATCAAAAAAAACAGTTTTAAAAGTCTAAAAATTGAAAAACCGAAAAATATAAGACGGAGAAATCGGAAATTTTAAAAACTGAAAAGTTAAAATATAGAAAAATTGAAAAATCGAGAAATTGATACATAAAAAATAAAAAAATTGAAAAATCAAAAGAGTAAAAAGTCGAGAAATTGAAAAATCAAAAATATGAAAATTCGAAACATTGGATAATCCCAAAACTGAAATATGAAAAATTGAAAAATGGAAGAAAAATTGAGAAATTGAAAAACTGATAAATCGAGGAATTGAAAAGTCGACAAACCGAAGTCGGAAAATCGAAAAATTGAAAAATCAGAAAACAGAAATCGAAAAATTGAAAAACTGAAAAACTGGACAATCCAAACACTGAAAAGTCAGAAAAATCGAGAAATGGGAAGAGCAAAAATGAATTACTCGAGAAATTGAAAAATCGAAACATCAAGAAACAGAGAAATAGAGAAGTCCAGAAATCGAAAAATCGAAAAATTGAGAAATCGAAATGGGCCAAAATCAAAAAATCGAAAAGTTAAAAACCTTAAAATTGAAAATTCTGGAAATGAAGAAATGAAAAATTAAAAAAATTGGAAAATTAAAATATCGAACAGTTGAAGAATCGGAATATGTATTGAAAAGTCGAGAAATCAAAACATCAAAAAAATAGAAATACATATTGAAAAATTCAAAAATCTAAAGTTTAAAAATCAAAAAACTGAAAAAAGGAAATGTCGAGAAATCGAAAAAACGAAACATCGAGAAATCGAGACATGAAAAAGACGAGACCTCGAAAAAAAAAATTGAGAAATCGAAATGAGTCAAAATAGAAAAATCGAAAATTTAAAAATCGTAAAATCAAGAAATAGAAGATTTAAAAAATCGAAAAACTGAAAAATCAAAAAATTTAAGAAACGAAAGATTGAAAAATAAAAAAAAAGCTATTTTAAAGATCTAAAAATTGAAAAACCGAAAAATATAAGACGTAGAAATCGGAAATTTTAAAAACTAAAATGTTAAAATATAGAAAAATTGAAAAATCGAGAAATTGATACATAAAAAATAAAAAAATTGAAAAATCAAGAGTAAAAAGTCGAGAAATTGAAAAATCAAAAATATGAAGATTCGAAACATTGGATAATCCCAAGACTGAATTATGAAAAATTGAAAAATGGAAGAAAAATTGAGAAATTGAAAAACTGATAAATCGAGGAATCGAAAAGTCGACAAACTGAAGTCGGAAAATCGAAAAATTGAAAAATCAAAAAACGGAATTCAAAAAATTGAAGAATTGAAAAGTTGAGAAATCGAGAAATGGGAAAAGCAAAAATCGAGAAATTGAAAAATTGAAACATTAAAAATTTAGAAACGTCAAAATTTAACAAATTGAAAAATCTAAAAATCAAAAATTAAAAGTGGAAAGTGAAGTATGGCAAAATTGAAAAATAGTAAAACCGAAACATCTGAAAATAGGGGGAATCCAAAAGAAAGAAGGATCGAAAAACTGAAAAATCGAAAAATTTAAAAACTGAAAAATCGAAAAATCAACGATTTTGAAAATAAAAAAAAATTGAAAAATGTAAAACGAGAAATCGAAAAATCGAAACATGAAGAAATAGAGAAACAGAGAAGTCCAAAAATCGAAAAATCGAAAAATTGAGAAATCGAAATGGGCCAAAATCAAAAAATCAAAAAGTTAAAAACTTAAAAATCGAAGCAATCAAAAATTTAAAAAATTGGAAAATTAAAATATCAAAAATTGAAGAATCGGAATATGTATTGAAAAGTCGAGAAATCAAAACATCAAAAAAAAAATAGAAATATTCAAAAATTCAAAAATCTAAAGTTCAGATTAGTTTTGATAAAAAAAAAGTCGAGAAATCGAAAAAACGAAACATCGAGAAATCGAAACATGAAAAATATGAGATCTCGAAAAAAAGAAATTGACAAATCGAAGTGAGTCAAAATAGAAAAATCGAAAATTTAAAAATCGTAAAATCGAGAAATGGAAAATTTAAAAAATCGAAAAACTGAAAAATCAAAAATATTTAAAAAACGAAAGATTGAAAAATAAAAAAAAAACAATTTGAAATATCTAAAAATTGAAAAACCGAAAAATATAAGACGGAGAAATCGGAAATTTTAAAAAGTGAAAAGTTAAAATATAGTAAAATTGAAAAATCGAGAAATTGATACATAAAAAATAAAAAAATTGAAAAATCAAAAGAGTACAAAGTCGAGAAATTGAAAAATAAAAAATATGAAGATTCGAAACATTGGATAATCGCAAAACTGAATTATGGAAGAAAAACTGAGAAATTGAAAAACTGATAAATCGAGAAATTGAAAAATCGAAAAATTGAAGAAGAAATCGAGAAATCGAAAATAGAAAAAATCGAAAGATTAAGAAATTGAGAAATGCAAAAGTCGAGAAATAAAAAAATCTGAAAATGGAGCAATCGAAATGAGCCTAAAACTTAAAAAACCCAAATGTTAAAAATCGAAAAATGGACCAATCAAGAATTTAAAAAATTGAAAAATTGAAATATCGAGAAATTGAAGAATTCAAAAATCCAAATTTAAAAATCAAAAAATTGAAAAGTTCAAAAATCGAAAGTTTAAAAATGAAAAAATTGGAAAATGTAAAAGTCGCGAAATCGAAAAAACGAAACATCGAAAGATTCAAAAACAAAAACATCGAAAAAAGATCGAGAAATCGAGAAATTGACAATAAAAAAATCGAAATATCGATAAATCGAGAAGTCGAAAATTTGAAAAATCGAAAAATTAAAAAGTCGAAAAACTAAAAAATCCCATCACTGAAATATCGAAAAATTGAGTATTAAAAAAATTGAAAATGCAGAAATTAAAAAATTGGTAAATTAAAAAATCGAAAAATTGAGAAATCTAAAGTTGAAAACTAGAGAAATCGAAAATTCGAATAATCTAGAAATCGAAAAATTGTTGCATGTATCTACATTTTAGTTTTTTAACAGATTCATAAACCGCAACTTCAGGACTATCTTATTTTTTAACATTTAAATAACATTTATTTGACAAAACTGATGACGTCATCAAGTCCTGGGGGACATGAACTAATAAGCTTTGCTTAAGATTGATCATGCTTCCGATAACCTTAAATATTAAATTGTAAATGTTGTTATACAATTTTGAGTTTTGTTTTGTCAAAAATCTGGATGTTTATAGTAAAAACTAGACACAGATTCATAAACCACATGTGCAGGAGTATCTTATTTTGTACAACTTACATAATATTTATTAATGTAGATTTTAGAAATGACATCATCTAATAACAATCCGTCCGGTAGTTTCGGAGAATATCTGCCCAATAAAAATCCGGACAGACGACAAACAGACAGATATCCGGAAACGGCGACCTATTTTTTCGAACTCTAGTGATCATGCAACGTCAAGAAAACATAAAAGGAGCCACGAAGTAATAGGGTTCAAGGTCATTAACGTCACCGTGATTATAGATTTTGTCCAGAAATTACGTTATTTTCATGCAGTCTCATTTTTCTTTGATTAATAATAATAACTGTCGAAATTTACTATCAACGATGTGACAACATTATTTCCACGGGTATGATCAACAGACATAAAATTACGTTATTTCATCAGAATAGTATTTACTGTACAGTGTTTATAAATTTTATATCGATCATATGTTAATATATGTTAAAACACTCTGTATTTAAACGAAAATAGAATGTTTGATGTTAGAACGACTTACGTAACGATCGCTACATCGTTCAAGTTTCCGTGGTGTAGTGGTTATCACATCCGCCTAACACGCGGAAGGTCCCCGGTTCGATCCCGGGCGGAAACACTTTTTTTTTCTTTGCTTATTTAAATTTTTACACTATACAAACTGTATTTGTATAATTATTTTTTTTTTTATGATAAAAATAAATTAACTTTTGAATGACGCACGAAACGCTTGCTTTTGCTCCTAGCTCTGAAACGTCTGAAATATTTATTACACCGCGAAACTTGTAAAATCCACCACACATTCGCTTCGTTTCATAAAACGTGACAATATTTCAGGCTGCAACGTAACTGCAACCTTTCTGAAACAATGTTGTATGAAAATTTAGCATGAAATAGCCGCAACCAGCGTCCAGGGACATTAGCCAGCTCAAAGCATTATTTGAAAGCTTTTCAATTACCTGCGATTCTTTGTTTTCGAACAATACATTGGCGAATAGTGGATACGACCTCTGCGGACAGGACATCCTGCCAGAACAATGCTATTTCAAGCGCAAATATTTTTATATGTTTCTATGCTTCTTAGAATCCTCAAAACTATCCATTTCTGTATTTTTTCCCTTAATCTAATTATTTCCAGCACGGTCCAAGCTCATTTATATTCCACAAGTCATTGCGGTTACAATTCAACTTTTTATGATTTTCTTGCAGATCTACACCGACTGGGCGAACCATTACTTGGAAAAAGCACGCAGTAAAAAACGCGTCAATTCCTTAGCAGCGGACTGCAGCGACGGAGTTTTGCTCGCCGAAGTCATCGAATCTGTTAGTAAGTAAAATTTACAACTTGTCCGACTTTTACGAGCCCGAGCATACTTCCAGGTGGACAAATAACTCACGGTAAAATAACGAAAATCGCGCTGTTACAACGTTGGCTCACCTCTTTTCCTTTAATTGGGTGCACTCAAGTTTATTTTTTCTTTTACGTCCGACGCTGATTAAAACAGTAAAAAATACATAAAATGTAAAAAAGGTCACTGCATGTTACGTCGGATTTGTAGCGGTGGATTTTTTAGATAAAAGGGAATAAAAGTCGCTTTATTCATCAATCTCGAGTCGGGGATAAAGTTAAATGGCGGCCGTTCATTAAAGATGCAAGAGAGGAGTACGAATTATTCACCAGGAGTTTGGGGCCTGATGAAACCCGTCAATCAGTGGCTTAATGAAATTTAAAAGTTTTTTAGCTTTGTGCTTTACGTGCTGGAACACTGCGAAAAAATTCGTCGAAGCGGAGCCTACAAGTCCCGCTTCTTTGAAAAATTATATTTTTTTTGTTTTCTGATTCTTCAAATTTTTGAGCTTTCAAGTTTAAATTTTTAACTGTTTCGATAATAATTTTTTGTTTTTGCAATTTCCAGTTTTTCAGTTTTTCATATTTTCAAATTTCCGATTTGCACTTTTCAGTTTTGGTTTTTTATTTTCTTTATTTTTTCAATTTTTCACTTTTTTATTGAGCTGTTTTAATAATTATTCTTTTTCTCAATGTGAAAATTTTAATTTATTAGATTGTTCAATTTCTCCATTTGTAATTTTTCAGGTTTCAGTTTGTCGATTTTTCATTTTTAAATTATCCACTTTTTCAATTTTAGGATTTTGCAATTTGAGTTCGATTTGATTTTCCCGAGTTTTCAATTTTTAATTTTTTTATTTGATTTTTCAATGTTTGGATTATATAATTTTCCGTTTTTTCTATTTTAACTTCTTCAATTTTTCGATTTACGATTATTCAATTTTTGATTTTTTTTTCATTTTTCTATTTTTAAATTTGCAATTTTTCCATTTAAAATTTGTTGAGTTTGCAATGTGAAATTTTTCAATTTTTGGATTTTACGGTTTTAGAATTTTTCGATTTTTCCATTTTTCGATTACTGGATTTGAAATCTTTTTCATTTTTTCGATTTTTATTTTTTCAGTTTCAAGATGCATATCCAATTTTTCAATTTTACAATTTTTGGGTTTTCCAATTTTAATTAATTTCATTAATTTTTTCCAATCAATCTTTCTTTTCTTCAGCACTTCGATTTACAATTTTTCCCACTTTTCATTTTTCAAGTTTAAGTTTTTGGATTTTGCAATTTTTCGATTTCAGTTTCTCAGGTTTTCAATTTTTAATTTTCCAATTTTTCGATTCTTTAGTTTTTCATTTCTTCAAAATTTCGATTTGCAGCTTTTTGTTGCGTTTTATTTTCTTTATTTTTTCACTTTTTCTGTTTTCTAGTGTTCTGATTTTATTTCTTTTTTCAATGTGAAATTTTTCTAGTTTTCATTTTAAATATGAAATAAGTATAATTAGAAAAAAAACACTTTTTCAACTTTACTGTTTTAGAATTTTTCTATTTTCCAATTACTGGATTTGATCTTTCTCATTTAGTCGATTTTTTAATTTTTCGATTTTTATTTTTTCAGTTTCAAAATATTTAATGTTTCAATTTTCGATCTTTCAGTGTCACAGTTTTTTGACTTTACAATTTTGACGGTTCCATAATTTTTCGAATCCACCATTTTTTGGTATTCCAATTTTTGGATTCGATTCGTTTTATCTTTCCAATTTTTCGATTTTTAAATCTCTCGATTTTTGGTTTTTCAAAATTTCATTCAATTTTCATTTCTCCAGTGCTACGATTTGGAATTTTTCGATTTTTCCACATTTTCGATTTGCACTTTTTCGAATTTCCAACATTTGAATTCTTCAATTTTTAAATTTTGCCTTCTTTCGATTTGAATTTCTCGAGTATTCAATTTTTAATTTTTCAATTATTCGATTTTTCAATGTTTCGATAATTTTTTGTTTTTTCAAATTATTAAAATTTTTCGTTTCTTCAATTTTTCGGTTGGTGATTTTTGATTTTGCATGTTTTTGTTTCTTCAATTTTCAAATTTTGCAATTTTTTCCATTTTTTTGGCATTTTTCATGTTTTTTTGTTTCTTCAATTTGTAATTTTTCGATTTAAAATTTCTCGGGTTTTCAATTTTTAATTTTTCAGTTATTCAATTTTTCATATAATTTTTTAATTTTTGTTTTTTTTGATTTTTCGATTTTTCCATTTTTCATTTTTTCAACTTTGGTTTTTTCAATTTCATGATTTTTCAAATTTTTGTTTCTTCGATTCTTTTTATTTTAAATATGAAATAATAATTGGTGTAAGTAAAAAAAAACACTTTTTCAATTTTATGGTTTTAGGATTTTTTTGTTTTTAATTACTGAATTTGAATTTTTTTTCATTTATTCGATTTTTCATTTTTTCGATTTTTATTTTTTCAGTTTCGAAGAGTAAAATGATTGAAAAATCGAATAAATTTAAGAATGGAAAAATCAGAAAATTAAAAATCAAAAATTTGAAAAGTCGAAGAATTGAAAAATCGAAAAATCCAGAAACTGAAAATTCGAATGTCAAAAAATCGAAAACTCAATGACTCAAATGTTCGAAAAAACGAAAATCCAAGAAATCGGAAAACCGAAAATTCGAAAATCTAAAAATCGAAAATTTACAAACCGAAAATCGAAAATTTGAAAAAGCGAAGCATTGGAAAATTGAAAAATCTAGAATTTGTATTCGAAAAAACGAAAATCTTAGAAATCAGAAAACTGAAAATTGTGAAATATAAAAGTCGAAAAATGTTTTTTGATGTTTCGATTTTTCAGTATTACAATTTTTCGACTTTGCAATTTTGACGATCGCATAATTCTTGGGTTTTTTAACTTTTCGAATACAAAAAATGGAAAAATTGCAAAATTATATAATTCGAAAAATCAAAAAAAAAATCAAAATTGGAAAACCGGGAAACTGAAAAATGAAAAAGTTTGAACTTTTGAAAAATTGAAGAAACGAAAAATGATAAAATCGAAGGAAACATTGAAAAAATAAAAAAAAATAAAATCGTGATATAAAATCGAGAAAAGGAACATTAAAAATTCAGGGAAAATTAACATGAAGGTCAAAAATTAGGGAAACGGAAAATTGAAAAATCGAAAAATACTAAAAATTGAGAAACTGAAAAATCGTAAAATGAAAAATTGTAATATCGAAAAATTTGAAAACTCGAAGAATTGGAAAATTGAAAAATCCAGAAGTTGAAAATTCGAATGTCAAAAAATCGAAAACTCGATGACTCAAATGTTCGAAAAAACGAAAATCCAGGAAATCGAAAAACGGAAAATTCGAAAATCTAAAAATCGAAAATTTAAAAACCGAAAATCGAAAATTTGAAAAAGCAAAGCATTGGAAAATTGAAAAATCTAGAATTTGTATTCGAAAAAAAAAAATTCTGTAACATAAAAGTCGAAACATTTTTTTTAATGTTTCGATTTTTCAGTATTACAATTTTTCGACTTTGCAATTTTGACGATCGCATAATTCTTGGATTTTTTAACTTTTCGCATACAAAAAATGGAAAAATTGCAAAATTATACAATTCGAAAAATGAAAAAAAAAAAATGAAAATTGTAAAACCGAGAAACTGAAAAATGAAAAAGTTTGAACTTTTGAAAAATTGAAGAAACCAAAAATTATAAAATCGAAGGAAACATTGAAAAAATGAAGAAAATAAAAAAAATAAAATTGTGATATAAAATCGAGAAAAGAAACATTAAAAAGTCAGGGAAAATTAACATTAAAAATCAAGAAGGTCAAAAATTGGGAAACGGAAAATTGAAATATCGAAAAATACTAAAAATTGAGAAACTGAAAAATCGTAAAATGAAAAATTGTAATATCGAAAAATTTGAAAAGTCGAAGAATTGGAAAAGTGAAAAATCCAGAAGTTGAAAATTCGAATGTCAAAAAATCGAAAACTCGATGACTCAAATGTTGGAAAAAACGAAAATCCAAGAAATCGGAAAATTCGAAAATCTAAAAATCGAAAATTTAAAAACCGAAAATCGAAAATTTGAAAAAGCGAAGCATTGGAAAATTGAAAAATCTGGAATTTGTATTCGAAAAAACGAAAATCCTAGAAATCAGAAAACCGAAAATTCTGAAATATGAAAGTCGAAAAAATTTGTTTAATGTTTCGATTTTTCAGCATTACAATTTTTCGATTTTGATTTTTTTCGAATACAAAAAATGGAAAAATTGCAAAATTATACAATTCAAAAAATGAAAAAAAAATGAAAATTGGAAAACCGAGAAACTGGAAAATGAAAAAGTTTGAACTTTTGAAAAATTGAAGAAAAGTAAAACTATAAAATCGAAGGAAACATTGAAAAAATTAAAAAAAATAAAATTGTGATATAAAATCGAGAAAAGGGACATTAAAAAGTCAGGGAATATTAACATTAAAAATCAAGAAGGTCAAAAATTGGGAAACGGAAAATTGAAAAATCGAAAAATACTAAAAATTGAGAAAGTGAAAAATCGTAAAATGAAAAATTGTAATGTCAAAAAATTTGAAAAGTCGAAGAATTGAAAAATTGACAAATCCAGAAATTGAAAATTCGAATGTCAAAAAATCGAAAACTCGATGACTCAAATGTTCGAAAAAACGAAAATCCAAGAAATCGGAAAACGGAAAATTCGAAAATCTAGAAATCGAAAATTTAAAAACCGAAAATCGAAAATTTGAAAAAGTGAAGCATTGGAAAATTGAAAAATCTAGAACTTGTATTCGAAAAAACGAAAATCCTAGAAATCAGAAAACCGAAAATTCTGCAATATAAAAGTCGAAACAATTGTTTTAATGTTTCGATTTTTCAGTATTACAATTTTTCGACTTTGCAATTTTGACGATCGCATAATTCTTGGATTTTTTAACTTTTCGCATACAAAAAATGGAAAAATTGCAAAATTATACAATTCGAAAAAAAAAAAAATTAAAATTGGGAAACCAAGAAACTGAAAAATGAAAAGTTTGAACTTTTGAAAAATTGAAGAAACGAAAAATTATAAAATCGAAGGAAACATTGAAAAAATAAAGAAAATAAAAAAAATAAAATTGTGATATAAAATGGATAAAAGGAACATTAAAAAGTCAGGGAAAATTAACATTAAAAATCAAGAAGGTCAAAAATTGGGGAAACGGAAAATTGAAAAATCGAAAAATACTAAAAATTGAGAAACTGAAAAATCGTAAAATGAAAAATTGTAATATCGAAAAATTTGAAAAGTCGAAGAATTGAAAAATTGAAAAATCCAGAAACTGAAAATTCGAATGTCAAAAAATCAAAAACTCGATGACTCAATGTTCGAAAAAATGAAAATCCAAGAAATCGGAAAACGGAAAATTCGAAAATCTAAAAATCGAAAATTTAAAAACCGGAAATCGAAAATTTGAAAAAGCGAAGCATTGGAAAATTGAAAACTCTAGAATTTGTATTCGAAAAGACGAAAATCCTAGAAATCAGAAAACCGAAAATTCTGAAATATAAAAGTCGAAAAATTTTTTTTAATGTTTCGATTTTTCAGTATTACAATTTTTCGACTTTGCAATTTTGACGGTCGCATAATTCTTGGATTTTTTAACTTTCCGCATACGAAAAATAGAAAAATTGCAAAATTATACAATTCGAAAAATGAAAAAAAAAATGAAAATTGGAAAACCGAGAAACTGAAAAATGAAAAAGTATGAACTTTTGAAAAATTGAAGAAACGAAAAACTATAAAATCGAAGGAAACATTGGAAAAATTAAAAAAATAAAATTGTGATATAAAATCGAGAAAAGGAACATTAAAAAGCCAAGGAAAATTAACATTAAAAATCAAGAAGGTCAAAAATTGGGGAAACGGAAAATTGAAAAATCGAAAAATACTAAAAATTGAGAAACTGAAAAATCGTAAAATGAAAAATTGTAATATCGAAAAATTTGAAAAGTCGAAGAATTGAAAAATTGAAAAATCCAGAAATTGAAAATTCGAATGTCAAAAAATCGAAAACTCGATGACTCAAATGTTCGAAAAAACGAAAATCCAAGAAATCGGAAAACGGAAAATTCGAAAATCTAAAAATCGAAAATTTGAGAAAGCGAAGCATTGGAAAATTGAAAAATCTAGAATTTGTATTCGAAAAAACTAGAAATCGGAAAACCGAAAATTCTGCAATATAAAAGTCGAATTTTTTTTTTAATGTTTCAATTTTTCAGTATTACAATTTTTCGACTTTGCAATTTTGACGATCGCATAATTCTTGGATTTTTTAACTTTTCGAATACAAAAAATATAAAAATTGCAAAATTATACAATTCGAAAAATGAAAAGAAAAATGAAAATTGGAAAACCGAGAAACTGAAAAATGAAAAAGTTTGAACTTTTGAAAAATTGAAGAAACGAAAAATTATAAAATCGAAGGAAACATTGAAAAAAATAAAGAAAATAAAAAAAAATAAAATTGTGATATAAAATCGAGAAAAGGAACATTAAAAAGTCAGGGAAAATTAACATTAAAAATCAAGAAGGTCAAAAATTGGGGAAACGGAAAATTGAAAAATCGAAAAATACTAAAAATTGAGAAAGTGAAAAATCGTAAAATGAAAAATTGTAATATCGAAAAATTTGAAAAGTCGAAGAATTGAAAAATTGAAAAATCCAGAGACTGAAAATTCGAATGTCAAAAAATCGAAAACTCGATGACTCACATGTTCGAAAAAACGAAAATCCAAGAAATCGGAAAACGGAAAATTCGAAAATCTAAAAATTGAAAATTTAAAAACCGAAAATCGAAAATTTGAAAAAGCGAAGCATTGGAAAATTGAAAAATCTAGAATTTGTATTCGAAAAAACGAAAATCCTAGAAATCAGAAAACCGAAAATTCTGCAATATAAAAGTCAAAAATTTTTTTTAATGTTTCGATTTTTCAGTATTACAATTTTTCGACTTTGAAATTTTGACGATCGCATAATTCTTGGATTTTTTAACTTTTCGAATACAAAAAATGGAAAAATTGCAAAATTATACAATTCGAAAAATGAAAAAAAAAATGGAAAACCGAGAAACTGAAAAATGAAAAAGTTTGAACTTTTGAAAAATTGAAGAAACGAAAAATTATAAAATCGAAGGAAACATTAACAAGTCAGCGAAAATTAACATTAAAAATCAGGAAGGTCAAAAATTGGGGAAACGGAAAATTGAAAAATCGAAAAATACTAAAAATTGAGAAACTGAAAAATCGTAAAATGAAAAATTTGAAAGTCGAGAAATTATGAAATAAAAATGAAAAATGGGAAAATTGAGAGATTAAAGAAAATGAAAAATTGTGATATCAAAAAATTACAAGATTTGATTTTGACTTCAGACAAAGTCGTCCAATGGACTCGATTGGTACACTTTAAGTAAAAATAAACAGCATTTAATACAAGCCACATTACCATAGGGTGTGAACACGAGGTGTTCGATTTATAAAATTCCCTCCGCATGGGTGTTCCGACACTCTTTTCGAGCACACATTGTGTAATTTCCATTCAACTTTTGAATATGTATTCCCATGTGGGCTAACTCCGCCGAAGCGCCTTTGACGCGATGATTTCATAGTCCTCAAATATGGTTTAGCAATGTAAATTCCACCAACACAGATTTTCTAATGTGTCCGTGTTTTCAGCGTGCCAGAAGATACCCGACATCAACAGAAAACCGAAAACGCCGTCCCAAATGGTAAGTTTTATTATTCTCTTTATATTTATGTATTCTTCGAATGTATCTTATTATTGTTCGGTGAAACATTCGATTCATTCCGTCAAACGCTGGTCGGTTGATGGCATCTGTGTCGACGCACCGACACGGCTAACGTGGGTGTCCAACCTTTCTTTGGATCTAGATTTATACGCGTTTATCTGGAAATGGGATTATACGGGCTGGGAATATATTGGCGTCATTAGACGGAGCTGATCGCCGAAAGAGATATGAAAGAAAGAGGGAAAGGGGAAGGATGAGATCAATTTGTTATTCATAAATTTGGGTTGAGTGAAATGTGTTGATGATACGGATTATGGACTAATTTTTTTTCTTGATGGGGATTCTTTGTTCTCGAGAGGTTTCATTTAGTCGACAAAAAATTTCTAAAGATTAGATCTAGCAAGGAAATGGATACATAAGAGGCGCTAGACTTATTTTCAAATATTGGTAGAGGTTCTACAGCGTCTAGAAATATACTTACTATTTTTGCAAATATTGTTTAGTTACCTTTGCTTGAATGTCAACAATGAAAATCTAAATTATTTATTTTCTTGAGTCGTGACGTGTTCGTCGGGTTAATTTAAATTCAATTAATAATAATTATAATGCCAGTGTACAGTTAAAGTACGGTAATTTAAATCGTATGAAAATAATGAATTTCCAACTTGTGTCACGAACAGCTTGTTTGATGGGTAATGCCGGTTTTCAATTATTACAAAGCAGACCGGTAGTTGTCTTACAATCCGAATGCAAAGAAATCTCAGATAAACTGATTAGAAATACATGGTTTTGAAAAAAAAATTAATAAAAAAAAAGCAAGAACCTCTTTGAAATACAAAACAAATGGGCACCAATATTCTTCAAATTTTTTCCGAAAAAAAGACAACGAATCCAAGATTCCGAAAAATATGAAACGGAGAAGTCAGAAAATCGAAAATTTTAAAAACTGAAAAGTTAAAATATAGAAAAATTGAAAAATCGAGAAATCGAACCATCGAAAAAAATTGAGAAATCAAAGAAAGTAAAAAATTGAAAAATCAAAAATTAAAAGATCGAAAAATTGAAAAATCCCAACACTGAAGAATCGAAAAATTAAGTAATTAAAAAATTGAAAATCCAAAAATTGAAAAATTGAAAAATTAATAATTTTAAATATCGAAAAATTGAAAAATATAAAACGAGAAGTTGAAAACTCGAAAGATTCTGAAATCGAGAAATGCAAAAGTCGAGAAATCGAAAAAGTTAAAATTGGAAAAATTGAAATGGCCCAAAAACAAAAAATCGAAATGTTTAAAAATTGAAAAATTAAAATATCGAAAAATTGAAGAATCGAAATATTGAAAAGTTGAGAAATCAAAAAATCGAAAAATTCAAGAATTCAAAAATCTAGTTTAAAAATAAAAAAATCGAAAAATGGAAAAGTCGAGAAATCGAAGAAACCAAACATCGAAATATTCAAAAACTGAAACATCGAGAAAAGATCTCGAAAAATAGAAAAATTGAGAAATCGAAATGTGTCAAAATCGAAAAATGAAAAAATCGAGAAATAGGACAATAAAAAATCAAAACATTTCGAAAAACTGAAATATGGAAAAATTGAAAAATGGAAGAAAAACTGAGAAATTGAAAAATTGAGGAATGGAAAAGTCAACAAACCGAAGCCGAAAAATCGACAAATTAAAATTAAAAAGACTGAAAAATCCAAAAATCGAAAAACTGAACACTCGTAACATTGAAAAGTCGAGAAATCGAGAAATGCAAAAGTCGGGAAATCGAAGCTAAAAATGGAAAAATTGAAGTGGCCCAAAAACAAAAAATCGAAATGTTTAAACATTGAAAAATTAAAATATCGAAAAATTGAAGAATCGAAAAATTGAAAAGTCGAGAAATCAAAACATCAAAAAATCGAAAATTGAAGAATTCAAAAATCTAGTTTGAAAATAAAAAAATTGAAAAATGGAAAAGTCGAGAAATCGAAAAAACCAAACATCGAAATATTCAAAAACTGAAACATCGAGAACAGATCTCGAAAAATAGAAAAATTGAGAAATCGAAATGTGTCAAAATCGAAAAATGGAAAAATCGAGAAATAGGACAATAAAAAATCAAAACATTTCGAAAAACTGAAATATGGAAAAATTGAAAAATGGAAGAAAAACTGAGAAATTGAAAAATTGAGGAATGGAAAAGTCGACAAACCGAAACCGAAAAATCGACAAAATAAAATTAAAAAGACTGAAAAATCCAAAAATCGAAAAACTGAACATCGTAACATTGAAAAGTCGAGAAATGGAGAAATGGGAAAATCAAAAATCATTTACTCGAGAAATTGAAAAATCAAAAAATTAAAAATTTAGAAACGTCAAAAATTAAAAACTTGAAAAATTTAAAAACCGAAAAATGGAAGAGTCGAAGAATTGAAGAATCGGTAAATTGAAAAATCGAAAAATTGAAGAATAAAAAAACTGAAAAATCCCAAAGGTAAAATCCGAAAAATTGGGAGATCAAAAAGAGATTCGAAAAGCCGAAAAATCGAAAATTCAAATAATCTTGAAATCGAACAATTGTTACTTAATAATGATAATAATAGGGCTTTATTAAATAATAATACAATTTTGATTTTTTTTTCAAAAAATCTTGATGTTTAGAATAAAAATTCATAACGGATTCATAAACCACAACTTCAGGATTATCATATTTTTTAACATTTAAATAACATTTATTTTACAAAACTGTCGAAAAATTGAAGAATCGAAATATTGAAAAGTCGAGAAATCAAAACATCGAAAAATCGAAAATTGAAGAATTCAAAAATCTAGTTTAAAAATAATAAAATTGAAAAATGGAAAAGTCGAGAAATCGAAGAAACCAAACATCGAAATATTCAAAAACTGAAACATGGAGAAAAGATCTCGAAAAATAGAAAAATTGAGAAATCGAAATATGTCAAAATCGAAAAATGGAAAAATCGAGAAATAGGACAATAAAAAATCAAAACATTTCGAAAAACTGAAATATGGAAAAATTGAAAAGTGGAAGAAAAACTGAGAAATTGAAAAATTGAGGAATGGAAAAGTCAACAAACCGAAGCCGAAAAATCGACAAATTAAAATTAAAAAGACTGAAAAATCCAAAAATCGAAAAACTGAGCAACCGTAACATTGAAAAGTCGAGAAATCGAGAAATTGGAAAAGCAAAAATCATTTACTCGAGAAATTGAAAAATCAAAAAATTAAAAATTTAGAAACGTCACAAATTAAAAACTTGAAAAATTTAAAAACCGAAAAATGGAAGAGTCGAAGAATGGAAGACTCGGTAAATTGAAAAATCGAAAAATTGAAGAATAAAAAAACTGAAAAATCCCAAAGGTAAAATCCGAAAAATTGGGAGATCAAAAAGAGAATTCGAAAAGCCGAAAAATCGAAAATTCGAATAATCTTGAAATCGAAAAATTGTTACTTCTACAATTTTGATTTTTTTTTTTTCAAAAAATATGATGTATAGAATAAAAATTCATAACGGATTCATAAACCACAACTTCAGGATTATCATATTTTTTAACATTTAAATAACATTTATTTGACAAAACTGTAAGTCCTGGGGGGCATGAACGCATAAATTTTGTTTAATAATTTTTCATGCTAAATACATTTTCTTGTAGTTTTCGGGCCGCAGAATTCACTCCCGCTTTCATTTCTTCGATAACTCCAATGGTTCTTCCAGAATCGTCCTTTGAAATATATAAAAATACGCAAAATAGAAGAAAAACAAAAAATTTAGAAACGTCAAAAATTAAAAAATAGTAAAACCGAAACATCTGAAAATTGAAAGATCGAAAAATTGAAAAATCCCAACACTGAAGAATCGAAAAATTAAGTAATTAAAAAATTGAAAATCCAAAAATTGAAAAATCGAAAAATCAATAATTGTAAATATCGAAAAATTGAAAAATATAAAACGAGAAGTTGAAAACTCGAAAGATTCTGAAATCGAGAAATGCAAAAGTCGAGAAATCGAAAAAGCTAAAAGTGGAAAAATCGAAAGGCCCCAAAAACAAAAAATCGAAATGTTTAAAAATTGAAAAATTAGAACATCGAAAAATTGAAGAATCGAAATATTGAAAAGTCGAGAAATCAAAACATCAAAAAATCGAAAATTGAAGAATTCAAAAATCTAGTTTAAAAATAAGAAAATTGAAAAATGGAAAAGTCGAGAAATCGAAAAAATCAAACATCGAAATATTCAAAAACTGAAACATCGAGAAAAGATCTCGAAAAATAGAAAAATTGAGAAATCGAAATGTGTCAAAATTGAAAAATGGAAAAATCGAGAAATAGGACAATAAAAAATCAAAACATTTCGAAAAACTGAAATATGGAAAAATTGAAAAATGGAAGAAAAACTGAGAAATTGGAAAATTGAGGAATGGAAAAGTCAACAAACCGAAGCCGAAAAATCGACAAATTAAAATTAAAAAAACTGAAAAATCCAATAATCGAAAAACTGAACAATCGTAACATTGAAAAGTCGAGAAATCGAGAAACGGGAAAAGCAAAAATCATTTACTCGAGAAATTGAAAAATCAAAAAATTAAAAATTTAGAAACGTCATAAATTAAAAACTTGAAAAATTTAAAAACCGAAAAATGGAAGAGTCGAAGAATTGAAGACTCGGTAAATTGAAAAATCGAAAAATTGAAGAATAAAAACACTGAAAAATCCCAAAGGTAAAATCCGAAAAATTGGGAGATCAAAAAGAGAAATCGAAAAGCCGAAAAACCGAAAATTCGAATAATCTTGAAATCGAAAAATTGTTACTTCTACAATTTTGATTTTTTTTTTCAAAAAATATGATGTTTAGAATAAAAATTCATAACGGATTCGTAAACCACAACTTCAGGATTATCATATTTTTTAACATTTAAATACCATTTATTTGACAAAACTGTAAGTCCTTGGGGGCATGAACGCATAAATTTT